CTCCCTCCACCACCACTATCCCCTAAAAAAAGTAAAAAAAAAAAAGAAAGAAAGAAAGGTAAAGGCAATTGGAGTTATTTCTATTTTAGGTTATCAAATACATGTTCCCCAAGAGAACAATTGACATCACTGGAACCGATCCACCAACTCAGACGATGATGTCATGTGGACAGATTACTGGGCAAGGGATATATCCCTCCGTGGTTAGGTGTCAGGCTATAACTAGGATAATTAAGTAAACTAAAAACAGACCTTTCTCTTCTGGCTCCCAGCCCTCAGCTAACCTCTCCAGAAACCACAACTATTAAATGAGTGACCTGAGACAGTCTTATGTAGGAATGTATTTTAATATGGAGATTCTTTCTAACTGCGGGACAATATTTCCTAGTGCTGTGATTTAGTTAACTTCAGGCTCGATGATGAGTCTTTAATCTGTAAACACCTTGTGGCTGTAAAAATGGTCTATCTTATGCATTCACAAGTGAGGACTTTTCAGATAATTTTCAAGTAGACCATTTTTACTCTACCTTCCCATTATAATTCCGGCAATATGGAGAATAAAGTATTGTTGACATCATCATATTAGTGAGAAAGAATAGTCTTATCCTTCGTAGTGGATGAATCATAGAATATTTGTTCTTCTGTAAACTGTTAAGACAGGCTCCAGAGCCCTCAATAACTAAATCCACTCGTCCTAAGATAAACATATGATACACTGCGGGGAGAACCTCCCAAACATGTTGAAGCACAACTTTTTGCACTGTGACAGCTCTGGAATGCTGGGTGCTGACAGCAGCAGAAACGCTGCCCAACAGTGATGGAGGTGATGCTCTTTGAGCAAAGTTAAAATGTCGACCGCAAGACAAAGAGCCGGAAAGGGCGGCAGACTCGGGAAGAAGTGGGAGATTTCCACCAGCAGTTCAGGGCTGAGAGCTGTTGAGCATTACAGGAGGGCATGGGAGACTGGAGAAATCAAAGACCCAAATGAGCTCTCATGATGGCCACCACAAATAGTCTTTGAAAGCAAATAGGGAATGAGTTCCGGCCTATGGAGAGGCTTCCAGAAGGACTTATGTCCCAAGAGATGAGAGTGAATAGAATGAAGAGAATCCTTCACTTTTATTATAAGCCAGGCCCTAAAAGAGGAAGAAAACACAGTTAAGAGTTTACTGTCTACCAGATTGTACAAGATGTGTGGGGAAGAGAAAAGAAAAGGCCATAGCCAGAAAAGACTGGGAGGAAAAGCTCCCTATGTGTTGTTACCGCTAGAAGTTTTGGAAGCTGTGCATTTAAGTCATGTCAAAAACTCTGGAAGAGTGAGTTTTCTCCTCCAAGAGGTCTGTTTATACAAACAAACTTTGAAACCTGTGGTGTTTTGAAAGAAGATGGCTCCCGTAGGAGTAGCACTATTAGGGGATGTGGCTTTTTTGGAGTTGGTGTGGCCTTGTTGGAGTAAATGTGTCACTGTAAAGTAAATGTGGACTTTGAGGACTCCTATGTTCAAGCTATGCCCAATGTGGCACACAGTTCACTTCCTGTTGCCTGTGGATCAGGAGGTAGGACTCTCAGCTACCTCTCCACGCATGCTGCCCTGCTTCCTACCATGTTGACAATGGACTAAACCTCTGAAACTGTAAGCCAGGCCCAATAAATGTGTTCCTTTAAAAGAGTTGCTGTGATCATGGTGTCTCTTCACAGCAATAGAAACCCTACCTAGGAATTTATATGAATAAGTTGTTTTGTACAGGGAAGAGGACAATTTAAATGGCTTCTTAGTTGACCTTCAGATTGTTCTGGATGATCATTAGGATGGGCCTACTCTAACTCCAGAACTCCTAGACGTATTCTGATAGCATTTATTTATTTGTGTTTGAGTATGTGCATATGTGTGTGTGTATGTGTACCTGTGTGCAACATGTGGAAGCCAGTGAACACTTTGTGCTCTCTGGATTCTGTTCTCTCCTTTGATCGTGTGGGTCCTTAGGAGTAACTCAGGTCATCAGGTTTGGCGGCTCGCACCTTTACCCTCTGAGCTACATCATGCCAGCTCACCAGGCATCCTTTAAAGTGGAGGAGAGAACAGGAATTCAAGGGAACTTTGAACACACTGCCTCAATAGCTTTGAAAGCAGAAGAAAAAAAAAAAAACATAGCTAAAATGGCTGTCTTCTGTGCATTCTTGCCCAGTTACACAAAATTTGGTCTCCAAAATTGTAGGTGTTTTTTTTAAAGCCAGTAAGTTTGTTACAGAAATGAGAGGGAACTGATAACAGTCCTTACACTTGACTGCATATATTAGACGCTATTGATAACAGTCCTTACACTTGACTGCATATATTAGACGCTATTGATAACACACTGTTCACAAGGTGCATCTAACTGGTCCTGTCACCATGTAGGTACTGAGGAATCACCAGGTAGGTGGGGAAATTGCCTACAAGACCCTGTTGACCTGTTTCTGTCCCCATCCAGTGTTGCAGAATGTTGTTTTGTGTGTGTTGCTTTTGTTCACACTGCATTTGTTTAGCTCTGTCACACTGTGATTATTTGCCTGTCTTAAACACCTAATGGTCTAATAAAGAGCTAAACAGCCAATACTGAGGCAGGAGCAGGGATTGGTTCAGAGTGAAATAAGCTGTGGTGGTTTGAATAAGAATGAGAATAAGAATTCGTATATTTGAATGCTTAGTCAGCAAGGGGTGGTACTAATTGAAAGGATTCAGAGCTGTGGCCTTGGAGTAAGTGAGGACTTATTGGAGGAAGTCTGTCACTGAGAGGTGGGCTTTGAAGTTTCAAGGGCCTAAGGCAGGCCCAGTGCCTCTTCCTGCTGCCCAAGGATCCAGATGTAGAACTCTCAGCTACTTCTCCACATCTGCCTGCACGCCACTATGCTCCCTGCCATGATAACAATGGACTAAACCTCTGACAGTGTAAGCAAGCCCCAATTAAATGTTTTCCTTTATAAGAATTGCCATGGTCACGGTGTCTCTCTTCACAGCAATAGAGCCCTGACCAAGACCATAAGACATCTGTACTATCTGTACTAGTTTGCTTTTTTTTTTTTTTTCAAGACAGGATTTCTCTATGTAACAGTCCTAGCTGTCCTGGAGCTCTGTAGACCAAGCTGGCCTCGAACTCACAGATGTCTGCCTCCTCTGCCTCTGGGTTTAAAGGCATGTGCCACCACCACCTGGCCCTGGTTTGCTTTTTTGTTGGTATAATAAATATCATAACCAAAGCAACGTGGGGAGGAAAGGGTTTGTTTTATCTGACAGCACACAGCACATCGCTGAGAAAGTCATGACAGGAACTCAACCAGGGCAGGACATTGCAGAGACCGTGGAGGAATGTTGCTTATTGACCTGCTCCCAAGCTCGTGTCTGACTACATTTCTTAGGAAGCCCAGGCCCACCTGCCTGGAGATGGTACCGCCCACACTTGGTTAGGTCCGCCTACATCAAGTCACACCTGAGAAAGCCTGACACCCTGATGAAGACAATCCCTGGACTGGAACTCCATGACATAACTGAGCAGTGTCAAACTAACAGCTGAAGCTAACTAAGAGAACATCTAATTCTGTCCAGAGAGACCAAAAACAACAACAACAACAACAACAAAAGTTCCAAAACATACTTATTTGGATTTTCTTGTTCTTATATTTCATAGTTCGTAGGTTTAGAATCTTTTGAAGGTAATCACATTAGATTTGGGTCTCAAAGCGCTCTCTGCATGCGCTTTTACTTCCCGGCTAAGTCTCTACATTTGCGTTCTCTCGAGTGTTCTTTCTTCTTTCTTTATCTGAGACAAGGTCTCACAATGTATCCCTGGCTAGTGTGGTACTTGCTGTATAGCCCAAGCAGTCCCCAAATTTGCTTCAATCCTGCCTCTACCTCTGGAAGTTCTGAGATTGTTTGCTTCTCCCTTGGGATTAAGGGAGACAATGTGAGTGTGCATACTAGAACTAACTATGGAGACATTCCAGAGTTAGCAAAGAAACCTAAGTCATACATTGTTACTAAAATCCACATTTGAGGGACAGGGTTAAGATGGCAGTGGAAGAAAAAGTCTCAGAGTCTGACCATTGCTTCAACTGAAGGTTCTCTTAGGAGCCAGAGAACAGGCGTAGTGGAATCTTTCTGAATTTTTCGCTTAGGAGGTTGTGGGGACAGATTTAAACCTTGTGTTTACAGACCATCTAGCTTTTATCATATATGAAAGAACACTCATTTAAATCCCCCAACTTTGAAAGGCTTTCTTGACATTCTAATGTCAATGATAAATTTCCACCCCAGATATGTAAGAATGCAAAACGTACCAAATCTTTCCTTTGAAAACAGGAGGGGCTTACCTGCTCGATTGTCAAGGGACCAGTGCATAGGGCTCATTACATCACTTTGAAATGCCACAGCTAGTATTTCCTTCACATCTTCGTAGCGCTACTGTGTGCTCGTGACCTGGTGGGACAAAGCTGTATGATTTAGAGCTTTGTGGTGTTTGCCGAATGTGCCTTTCCCTCTGAAATGGTAAACCATTTGACAGCTCCTGGCCCTGAGTCTTTATTTCCAGTACTGTTTTCTTCACCAAGCCTGATTCCAACTTTATCCAGAGAGTTAACGCCAACGATGCAAACACTGCTAGTAGCTACGGGAGTCTGTCTCTGATGTCTAGGGACCCAGAAGACCAGGACTGCTGAAGTGCAGGGTCCAGCCCGTTCCAAGGATCATTCCCGTAAACGCCCACAGATGGAGCAGTTTTAAAATTATCAGGCTCCTGAGGCCGCCTTCCTTTCTTCCACGGGATTTATCCTCTCTTCCTTCATCTTCGAGAGGTAATGTCCCTGTGAGACAGGCACCACGGGACTATTCACAGCAGCAAGGCATCAATCACTCCAGAGCGGCCCTGGAGAGCCCGCCTTGGGCCCTCTGTGGAGCCGGAAGTGCCCTGCGTTGCCAAGGCTCACTGGAGTCCTTGCTAAGACGCCGTCCGTCCCCATGGCAACGCATTGTCTCCAAGTTCAGAAGCCTAGCTTCTGTGCTTCAGGACAGGGCCCTGGCCAGCAGGCTGACCCGAGGCAGCAGAGGTCCTAACTGCCCAGCCCAGCCGGGTGAGAGATCCGGGAAGGCATTTAGGGGTCGGGGAGCCAAAGGTGCTCACCTTTTAGTGCAGGGAACCTGAACGGGCGGGGAAGATGGGGCCTAGCACTCAGGAGAGTCCACGTTTAGGAAGCAACAGTAGAAAAACTGCGGAGAAACAGCAAGAGATTTGTCCTAGAGGGGGGCTGGAGGGCCAGGTCCTAATCCAGGGCCCTGTGTAACTGTCCGGGAACCGGGAACCGTGTGAAGGACTGCTTAGGAAGGGAGGTCAATCCTTCTGCCGATCCTATGTTTGTATAACTGGTATTTGGAGCCTGGGTCAAGGAAAGCTGCCACAGTAATCTTCCGGGAGCGCCTACGAGGTTGTAAACGTTCAGTGAAGTGTGTGTGCACTCAAGGGTTAAAGATAGCCTTTAGAAATGCATTTTACAAATTATTATTAACTCCTCCCATCCCACGTGGTTCACTTTTGTCAACAGCTAACAGCAGTAGGCACAGGAGTTTTAGACTCTTAACTAGAACTTTCTATTAAATAGTGGTGTGGTTCCTGGAAAAGGGAAGATTTACTAAAACACTTCAGGTTATACGAAAAATTGATTGCTTTTTGTTTCTGCTTTCCCTTAGCGCTGCCAAAGAGTATTTGAGTTGAACAGGTCACCATTGTTCGGATGACCCAGTAAACGTAAAAGATGGGCCCTTTAGGAAATACTTTAAAGGAACTTTGGGGACGTAATATAGAGCAGACAACAGGAAAAAGAGATACGGCTCTGAAAAACACCTCCAATTTCATCATCTTAGGAGTTTCTCAACATGGGTCTGCATAGTCTATTGGTAGATTTATATTTAGCAGTTTTCATTTATAAAGTTAGGAATATCCAGCAGAAGGAAGACAGAACAAACGTCTAAGCCCTTTCCCCCCAAACTGACCTCACTTGTGATTCTTGGTAGGAAAATGCAAGCCAACCCTATCCGCATTCCAACCGTTAGCAATGACACCGACTGGGACTTCTGCTTCCACCTGTAAGTACCAACAAAGCCTTGTCAGGATCCTCACTCGCCACGTTACGGGAAGTCTGGGTGAAAAGCTATACATGCGCTTCCCATAGAGGAGAAAGGTCCACAGCTGGGCTGTCTATGTTGATAGGATTATGGAATAACCTCCATTGGTGTCTACAACCTCTGAAAGATGGACGGCAATTGTATTTTCCTAACTGATGAAGATGTTCACGTTTATAAAAATAACACGACATCAGAACAACTCCAGTAAATCCCGGGAGAAAAGCATAACAAAAATCAGAGTAGGACTTCATGAAATAAAAAGACAGTGGATACACGAAAGCATTTTTAAATTTATTTTTACTGTCTTAAATTTCAAATGGGGAGGGCTATGTAGGTTCAGACACAAATAGAAGCCAGAAGAGGGTGTCGGGTCCCCTGGTGGTTGCAGGGAGTTAGTTGTAAACAACCTGACCTGAGTGTTGGGAACTGAACTGTGTCTTTGGGAAGAGTCGTAAGTGCTCCTAGCAACTCAGACATCTCTCCAGGCCTACTTTTACATCCTAGTAATCAATTCTTATTGAGCAGATTCTGTGTGCCTGTCCTTTCACAACTCTGTAGGGATGAGCTTTCTGGACCATCATTACAGCATTGTCTAGATGGTAATTATAAATCTGAGAGAGAGAGGCTGAGCAGTTTGCCCAAATTGCACAGCTAATTAGTGGTATTTTATCCAGGTAGTCTACTTTCAACAATTAGCTTTTCTCTATGTGGCGATCTCTTACTCATGGCACTACTGACTTTTTGAGTTGGATAACTCTCTGTTAGGAAGATTTAGAAGTATACCTTGCTTTTAGCCACTATATGCAAGTAAGACTGTCCCATCTGTGGCATTGCCAAATGGCCCCAGGAAGCAGAATCTGCCTTAGATGAGAACCACTGCTTTATTCCAGGCCATTGTAGAGAGACACAATGGCTGTCAACCACTTACAGCATTTACATTTTTCTGAGAGCCGTAATAAAAAGTAAACAAAAGTATGTTTAATTTTAATGTTGTCTTATTTCAATATACTTAAAATATTATGTTTTATTGCTAAATATTTTATACTGTTTAATATTTTATACAATTTTTCATAGTGCATCATCAAATTCAGCCTATTTTCACATTTTGAGAGTATTTTAATTCCAACTAGCCATATTTAATGCTCATAATAGCCACCTGTGGCTAGTGGTTACCTTATTGAAGATTACATATTATAAGATATCATCAGGTTAAATGTTATGGAACTATAAAAATGGACTTTTAAAAAATATAGCACTCTATTTTTTTTTTATTCTATATTCATCTCTGAGATTGGTGACTCAACAGTTAAGAACACACTGTATGCATCCAAAGGACTGGAGTTCAATTCAAAGCACCTACACGGCAGCGAATAGCTGTCCACCTGTTTCCAGTCCTGGGAAATCCAAACCCTTGTTTGGCCTCCATAGGTACTACATACACAAGGTGCACAGGCATAATACAGGCACAACTGTGGAATATCCCTTTACACTGTGTGACTATATATCACTGTGATTGGTTTAATAAAGAAGCTGTCTGACCAATAGCTGGACAGGATAAGATTAGGGGCAAGCCAGACAGAGAACCCTGAGAAAAAGGAGGACAAAGTCAGTTGTTGCCACACACCAGAGAGGTATGCCACAAGCCTTGGGGCAGCATATGGATTAGTAGAAATGGGTTAATTTAAGTTGGAAGAGCTAGTTAATAATAAGCCTGAGCTATTGGCTGAGGATTTATAATTAATATTAAGACTCTGGTTATTTGAGTGTGGCTGCTGGCACAGGAAATATCTGCCTATACAAAATACCCATGAAATAAAAATAAATAAATCGTTTTAAGATGTAGAGTTCACAATACAGCGTATTGGAAATAACCATTCTTCAAATATATAACCAATCAGGCTTTATATTTGTTATTTCAACAGATGGAATGAGTCACAGCCTAAAAAGTTTTCACTCACCTTGCTGATTCCTTTGATTCTGACTTTCCTGAGATATCTCACTTGTCATGATTATGTGGTGTCTTAGGATTTTATTGCTGTGAATAGACACCATGACCATACATACAACTTTTAAAATGGAAAACATTTCATTGGGGCTGGCTTACAGTTCAGGGGTTTAGTCTATTATGTCATGTCAGAAAGCATGGTAACACGCAGGCAGGCATAGTACTGGAGCATTTATAATTAATATTAAGACTCTGGTTAATATTAAGGAGCTGAGAATTCTACACCTGGGTCCTCAATCAAGAGAGAGTGCCCACCCCCACAGCCACACACTTCCTCCAACAAGGCCACATCTCCTAATAGTGTCACTGCCTTTGGACAAAGCATTCAAACACGAGTCAAGGGAGGGGGGCAATTCCTATTCAAACCACCACATGCAGCCACCTTTTTTTTTTTTTAACCTTCTTTTACTAAATGTTCAAAGCTAGCTCAGGGATTTTTGTTCTCAACTCACCTGGGAAGACTTCAAAGTTTGTCATTCTTTGAGGTTGTTATTGAAGACTGCTGCTTTGATCTCAACATAGTCTCTTTCAAGGCTTAATTAAAACATTAGAGGTTATGATTTTTAATATCCATAATTAGCATTCTCTCTCATGACTTCATGGACTTGACATCTGCAGCACATCTGTGAAATAAGAAGCTCAAGCAAAAGTTTTCTATTCAGTGAAAATGTCCTTTAGCTGTTCTGAGTTGATAATATTTTTTTTACAGGTTTCTCCACTCCTTGGTACTTTTAAACATTCTAAAGACTCATGTTCTTTTTTTTTTTTTTTTAACCCTTCCTTGTTTGCTAACAAATGGCTTAAATTTACTGATAGCTAGATAGGGCTTGAGAAACAAATGTGATTCAGACCCTACCTCAGTGGAACTTACTTCTAGAAGGCCAGCAAGACTCTCAGGAGGTGGGAGGAAGCAGTGAAGGGAGGCAACTAGAGAAGGGAGATTAAATCAGACTATAATGTGAATTGTATCTTAGTAGAATTTGGGAAAATTTTTGAATTCCCTTTGGAGTGTATCTTTTTAGTACTTAAGGAATTTCATACAATGTATTGTAATACCGTCCAACCCCCTTCCCCGCCTACCCAATTTGGTTTCTTCTGTCACTATTGAGTGTAATTTGTGCTAACCACACACTCTTGAGTGTATAGCCACCCACTCGAGTGATACCCTGAAGAGAACTGACTCCCTCTCCCAGAATCCATCAGTTGCCAACAGCAACCCAGCTAAGGTTGAGACTTCAGGCCCACCTCCTCTCTGTATGCTGGGGTTCTGTCTGGCTTGATCGTGTGCAGGTCTCGTACATGTGATCACAATGACTGTGAGTCCCTAACTGTAATCACTCTGTGGGGTCCGGAAGACACCATTTCCCTGCAGTCACCCACTACCTCGAGCTCTTACTGTCTTCCCACCCTCACTTCTGAAATGATGCCTAGGCTTTGGGAGGAGGGGTGTGCTATAGGTTAGTTACTTTTCTATTGCTGTGATCAGACGCCGTGAGCCATGACCAAGACAACTCAGGAAGGAAGAGTTTTATTGGGAGCTTACAGTTTCAGAATCTATGACCATCATTGCAGGAAGCATGGCTGCAAGCAGGTGTTCATGGTGCTGGAGTCATAACTGAGTGTACATCTTGAGACACAACCATGAGGCAGAGAGAGCTAACTAGGAATGGCATGGAATTTTGAAACCTCAAAGCCTACCCCCAGTGACACAGCTTCTCCAACAAGGAGAATCCTTCCCAAACAGTTCTACCAACTGGGGACCAACCTTCAAATATATGAGTCGATGGGGGCCATTCTCAATAGTCTATAATGTTTAGGAGTCTACAGAACTTCACTGGCCAACAACTCCAAAAGAAATAGCCCATTCATGACCCTGGATTTTTTTTGTTAGCCTCCTGTGTCTAATAAGAGCATTGTCACCCTATTATGGGATATCTCCATTTCAATTCACTTTACTCCATGATCCAGTTACACTTCTCGTGGGCATATAACCCACAGCACTGTATATCCTGTATCTCATCATATACTGTACTACAGAGTTGTAGTACCAAACTGCTCATCTATGTTCATCGCGACTCTTTATTCACAATAGCCAGGGAATGGAAACAGCTTTGCTGCCCATTGGCTGATGAATGAATAATGGTCATTTACACAATGGAATGTTATTCAGTTCAGAAATTATGACATTCTCAGGTAAGTGGATGGAACCAGAAACAGTCATTCTGAGCAAGGTATCCTAGACCCAGAAAGACAAATGTCATATGTTTTCTCTCATCTGTGGATGATAGTTTTGAATGTTCACTTATGTGTGCTTTATTTGGAATACTCAAAGAGGTCAGGAAGTCAGTAAGGGGCCATGAAGTGGAAAGAAAGGTGGAGCACAGTGGTAATAAGAAAAGCAATGGAACAGGAAGGGTTAAACTGGGGATGGAGATGGAGATGGTAGGGCAAGGTAGAGGAGGAAATATGGGGAAGGACAACAAACATAAAGACCTTTAGGGCAAGGTAGAAGGTGGAATATAGAGGAGGCTAACTAGCAGAAATAGCTTTTGGAAAGGTCGTAGAGAACCCTACCACTGGAGAGTCCTCTTAAAAACACATATTATACACATATAAAAAGAGTTGGAGTGTCTGGGTCACTTCTTCTGAGAGAGATTTCCTAGGAGATGTCCATGCTGTGACCTGAGGGAAAGTATAGCATTGAGCAGATGGATAAGAACCCAGTTTGTCTCTTGCTTTCCGGCCACACCATATCACCAGCCTTTCTCTTGGTTTACTCAAAGCACACTCATCTGTGGGAAGGGCTTTCTTCCCTGGCCTGAAGAAAGGCTCCCCTATCCAAATGACCTGGCATGCCTGCTTGCCTTTGGATATGTTCTTTGGGACACTACTCTGAGTGGGTATTATATAATTTTTCAAATTTGGTCTAAAAGATAATACTTGACATCTATTTTCCTGTTCTGACTTTCTAAATTCCCTATTTAAAAGAACAACAAATGTATATTTCCCGAGTAGTCATTGTGAAAGGATGGTGTTTCTTCTTCTTTTAAATCATTTTTGCAGCCCATATTGGCCTTGAATTCATAATTCTAATGCTTGAGCCTCCTGGCATTAAAGGCACGATCTACTACAACTGTTTAAGAAAGGTAAACTTTAACAAGTTTGCATTGGTTGGAACCCTAAAAACCCTTGTGAATATGAAGATGATCCTCATGGGAGACATTGCTAATTAATTGTCATTGCTCTTAAGATGTCAGAATTCTGTTTATTCCACATCATTTTGACTCATTTTTTCTGGTGACGTTAGGATACATTTGTCTCTTTTCTCTATGAATACACTTCCAGCTACCTCTTTCTAAATTGCTCTCAGCCTTGAAGTTAGAGCTTTATCTATGTTGTCTGCTAATGTGTCTATTGTGTTTGTGGGGAGAATTCTCAACTTGCTTCTTTCTTACCGCAATGATCTCTAAGACAACAAAAGAGGCACTCGCTTCTTACTCTGCACTTGACCCAGCATGTGGCTGGCTGTCTTCTCTTAGTGCAGCACCCACGTGACTATAGCAGCTTCCCCTGACTCCTGCGACTTGGGTACAACTGCCACGACAGCATTCTCTTTGGCTAATTACAAATTATACATTGAGGTTTTTGAGACTTATGAAAGAGGAACTGTGAAGTTAGCCTACCCTCAAAATGTTATTTCGTGTCCCCTATTTCATTGTATCCATTCCTTTTCCTGGTTTGGATCTAAATTTGAGGACTTTAAAGGTCTTCCAACTCAGTACTCTCATTTTGTAGGATGAAATCAAGCCATGGGGCCAATAGCAATAATAATAGCAGACATTAAGGAAGTGCTTGCAAAATGTTGCTCACTGTACACAGTGATTCAGGAGTGTCAGCTCCTTTAGTCCTTCTAACTGCATTAGGCAGGCATTCACATCAACCCACATTCACAGAGAAATCATTTGAAGAGCACTTACTCAGGGTTACACAGTTTACAAACAGAATAACTGTGACTCTAATGCAAGGTGACAAGCTTGCCAGATGCTTACTTTGAGCTACGGCATTGCTGCATGGATGCTGGATTCTGAGAGTAGTGTGAGTTTACTGTATATCTTTATTTAAAATTGAACTGAGACAGTGTGGTGGTTTGAATAGGAATGGCTCCCCATAGACTCATGCATTTGAATGTGTGGCACATTGGAAGTGGTACTGTTAGAAGGTTGTGGCCTTGTTGGAGTAGGTATGGCCTTGTTGGAAGAAATGTGTTACTGCCGAGGTGGACTTTGAAGTCTTCTATGATCAAGCTAGGCCTAGTGTAGGTATCTATTCTGCTGCCTCTGGACCAAATTGTAGAACTCTCAGCTCCTTCTCCAGGACTGTAGCTGCCTGCATGCTGCCATAACAATATTAAACTAAACCTCTGAAATTCTAAGCCAACCCCAACTAAACACTTTCTTTTATAAGAGCTTCCGTGGTTATGGTGTCTATTCACAACAATAGAAACCTTAACTAAGAAGAAAGCAAGTTAATATCCTCCAGCTGCAGATATTTTAGCCTTCTGCTGGGTCTTTTTGAGAATCCTGATCCGTGCCCACCTTATGCCCACAGGTCACAGCAAACCAGGAACCCCGCACAGTGTACAGATGAGTTGTTTGCTGCTTGTCAGTGTAAAGAGACTGAAGAAGACACCAAGGTCCAGAAAGAAGGCGTGACTGCTGATTGTATGTCTTTTCCGAAACAGAAGCTGGCTCAGTGCCAGAGGAAATATGATCAGCTCATTAAGGAGAAAATGGTAAAACAAACAAAATCTTTACTGGGTTTGGGTTGCCGTTCATAGTGTGCGCGTAGCATAAGATTGCCTGCCTTTCCTATAGAATGACGCGCACGAGGAAACCGTTGTTGGAACTTAAAAAAAATAGAGCAGAACAGGATCGGGGAGCCAGCCTACCCTCCAGTTCTCTGCCCATTTCATTCTGTCCCTCTGTGCTCGTACTTTTAACTTTTAACCAAAATTTTAACTAAAACATTTGGGTGTTTGTCATACCCAATTGCTGTTTGTTTAGCCGTATCTTAACAAGTCTCTTATGCCTTATATCAAGGTTTCGAGATAATCCTTGGGTAAGAAGAAGGTCAGGATGGTAGAGCAAAAGGCCAAGAACAGCAGTAGTCAAGCAGATAATTGATGTAGGTAGGATGTCATGATCACAGTAGAATCAGACATATTGTAAGAAGCTGCTAGTTTTTTTTTAATGGCTGCTCAGACCCGAAATAATCACACAGAAACTATGTTATTTAAATCACTGCTTGGCCCGTTAGCTCTAACTTCTTATTGGCTAGCTTTTATATCTTAATTTAACCCATTTCCATTAATCTGTGTATCGCCATGTGGTTGTAGCTTACCATTAAGGTTGGCGTCTATCTCTGGTGGGGCTACATGGCTTCTCTCTCACTCTGCCTTTCTTTCTCCCAGCATTCAGTTTAGTTTTCCCCCTCCTACCTCAGTTCTGCCCTGTCAACAGGCCAAGGCAGTTTCTTTATTCAACAATGGTATTCACAGCATCCAAAGGGGAATCCCACATCACAGGCATAAACCAAAGAACAAGAAACAGAATGAAGCAGAGGTTCGCATCCAGATGAAGGTGAACGTATTTATATGGTTAAGGACTTGGGAATTCTGATCTCTGAACAGGTATATAAACCAAAGGATTCAAAATCTAGGATCTTGACATAGCAACACATTAACTTTCTTTGTTAGGACACGGCCACCAGCCTGCTCCCAGATTGTGGTTTATCAACAGAGAAGTTCATACGCTGACTTGTGGTCATGTGTGGCCAAGAGAAAATGATTCTAAAGTACATGTGAGGAAAGTGAGAAGAGGGCTCAGGCAAGACTGAAAGGGACCCTAGAGGCAAACACTGCTGTTGCCTCTCTAATGGGTATCTGTACATCTGCCTCCACAAACTGCCTCGAGAACTTCAGTGGACAACCATCACAACCTGGATTCCTCAGTTCACACCTGCATTCCAGAAATCTCATTTCTATAAGGAAAGTAGCGTCTTCCACACAGTGCAAGTGTGCTTCTCTGCTTCTGCTGCTACAATAAACAGCGTGACCAAAAGCGACTTGGAGATCCAAGCATTTATTTAGCTTATGGTTGCCGGTAACAGTCCATCACTGAGGGAAGCCATGGCAGGACTCGTGCAGGGTCAACAGGCAGGAACCATGGAGAAAAGATGCTCTCTAGCTTGCTCTTTCTGGTCCATGCCCAGCTAGCTTTCTTATGTGGCCCAGACCCACCTGCTTAGGGATTTTCTGCCTATAGAAAAGGGTCGGGGCCCTCCTACACCAATTAACAGTCAAGATAACAATTCATAGACAAGAAGCCAATCTGATCTGAGTAGTTCCTCAGATGAGAGTCACTGTTCTTGGTCGACTCTAGGCTGCTGTCAAGTGGACTACAGACTAACCAGCACAACCAGTAGAGGCTTCATGGTTTGAAACTCTTTGTCCAGTTTAGATAATGAAAATATTTATATCTTAGGAGTTAAATGTCACTCAGTCTAATAATCACAGCCTTAAAGGACAGGATACTACTGTAAGCAACAGTGGTGGGGTGATCTCTAAAGCCCATACCGCTTCCCTAGGACAAGGAGTATAAAAGTGATACAAACTACTAATGGTTAGCCAGCCCGACCCAGGGCTCTGGACTCCTGCTGGCAGTTTTCCTGGTACTTGTTTTATACTCATAATAGAGCTTAATGTTTGTTATGATTATCCCTTGATGAACTCTCCAAAATGCTGACTGGATATTTTTAAAGTGTGGGGAGATGTCCCTTGCTTGTGGCTTGCATCAGAAGAAGCAGAAGTACCTGGTTGATGTGGGAAATGCAGGAGGCAGGAGGAGGCAGTCTGTGGATCCATAGGAAGGGTTACTGTATCTTAAGAAGGATATAACTAGATGAGTCTTAACAAATTTGGATCACGTGAACATGAACTAATTGTCTTCTTGCAATAACTCCTTAAGGTAGGTGGTACAGGTTTCCAAATTTCAGGAAAGGGAGCTGGGATTTGGTTGACCTTCCCTAAAGCAAGGTAGTCAGCACACATCCCAGATTGGCTAGAACTTTAGCTCTTGATTCCTTAAAGGGCTATTTTGACTTCACCTAAAAATTAATGTCTGGAGTCGATGACCACTGCAGCCACTGAATGACTATGTAAAGTCACTGAAATGCATGACAACACAAATGTGTGGTTTGTGGTCTTCTAGAGCTCTCTGCTGAGCTCCCTCACTTACCTTATTGCTATACTTATTACAAGAGAATGTAATATACTTATTACATTAATTGGATGCTGTAAATATACCTTCTCTGTGTACAGTCCTATAACAGTGAACGAGAGGGAAAAATCCCCTCTCTTTCTGGTTGTTTTAATACAGGGTCTCACTGTATAGCTCTGGATATCCTGGATCTCACTGTGTAGACCAGGCTAGTCCCTAACTCACAGAGATCTACCCACCTCTGGCACCTGAGTGCTGAGATTAAAGGTATGAGCCATCACACCTGGCAGGAATAAACTTCTTAAGGAAGTCAGAGTCTATTTGGGGAGGCAGATAGTAAACCAACAACAATGTCAGATGGGAGTACCGTGGATTAAAAATAAAGCAGGTAAGGATCAGGTTGTTTTAGGACAGTCAGCAAGAACAGCCTCCGAGGCGAACACAACAAAAGTGAAGCGAGAGACCCAAGTACTCCCAAGAGCATCTCAGGCAGGGGAGCCCACAGTGGAAGCTCGTTTGCCCTGTCCAGGGGAAGCTGGGCAGTATTCTTGCAGCAGTGAGAGAAAGGCGAGAATGGGAAGGGATAGGAAATTGAGGGAGTGATCAGTGTACGGTCATACTGAGCATGTGGAGGCTATGGTAAAGACTTTGGATTTCCTTAAAATATATACAGGACAGTAACATAAGCTAATTATACTCTTAAAAGATTATGTTGCCACACAAAATGTTTAGGAGCATTTAAGCTTATAATAATTACAGTAACGTACTTGCTTCCCTTTGGAGGAAGCCCATGAACAAGCTTGTTGTTCTGAAAGTGGGTAGGCGAAGAGAAAGAATGATTATCTAGCCTGCCTTTTCATTACAAACTGTTCCACTGGGCATCCAAAAAAAGTAGGTGGGTGAAATGTCTGTTTATCATTCTTGACGACTGTGTGTCTGTGCACCTGTGCCTACGTCAGAGCACATATAACGAGGAGAGGACAGCGTTGTGGAGTCAATTCTTTCCAGCTTTACATGGGATCCGGGGATTGAGCCTTAGGTCATCAGGCTTGCAGTTTTAGGCAGCAAGTGCTTTAGTCTACTCAGCCATCTCACCAGCCCCGAGGAATTTCAATTCAGAGATGTATTCCACCTAACATATGAGGGAGCAATGGTGGAAAATGTGTGCTAATGTCAGGAAACAAGACAAGCAAATATTAACTTCTGACAGAAAAGCGTGCTATACTTACAAAGTAGTTGTGCCTCCAAGTTTTTGTTTGGTTCGTCGTTTTGTTTTGCTTGCTAGTTTTCTTTGTTTTTAAAGATAACCTGGGCATGGTTCCACTCAACAATCATGAGGGCAGAGACAAGAGGATCATAAATTTAAGACCAGCCTGAGCTACATAGCAAAACACCAAACAATAAAACATGCCTTTAATCCCAGCACTCGGGAGGCAGAGGCAGGCAGATCTCTGTAAGTTTGAGGCCAGCCTGGTCTACATAGAGAGTTCCAGGACAGCCTCCAAAGTTACACAGAGGTACCTTGTCTCAAAAAACAAAACAAACAAAATCCCTTCAAAATATTGGGTTTATTGCTCTACTTGATATTAAGAAATCACTGCTAATGCTTTGGTGATAATGACTTTGTGGTTGTTTCTCATCTACCCACGAGATTACTAATGAATGACATAATCTAGATGTTCTTCAGTGTTACAGAAGGAGAAGGTGTGGGGAAGATAGGCTTGAGTAGGAGTGGCAATGGCAGGAAACAGGAAACTAAGGATGCTATTTAACCCACTCTCTCTATTTGTGATGAAAGCTTTCCCTGACAAGTGCTAAAGGAAGCTCTCTGGCTGACAGATAGAAGAAAGAGTGTGGTGGACAAGAGAGGCAGCAATCAGGAGGGTTACTGTCCAGCCATATAAAGCTGGGGTGGCTGAGACACGATGAACTAAAAGCGGAAATGAGAAAAGCTTGGTTTTAGGATATATGTGTAAGGGGCAGCCCACCAGACTCAGTGATGAAACAGAATGGCAAAAAAGATTCCAGGCCAATGTAGTCCTACCCTCGAGTGAGGGGCCCCAGACTTTCTTCCTTCCCTAAACTGACTTTTTTCCCTCTCTGCAGAATATCAAAGCAAACAAGGAGCTGATTCGGTGTTTCATCCTTTCTCAGATTATTTTTGGGAAAGAACACTGGAAGTGTGCTCAGGCTTTAGCCAACCTGGCTTATGGTTACCTGACTCTGAGAGGTACTTGCTTTCCCCAGCCAGGTCTTGCTGGGCCAGCCTGTGAGGGCAAACTGAGCTCTCCCTTGGGGCTTGGATGACGGGGAGGGCCCCTACTTAATTCCATGCCACATCTCACCAAGGGAAAGGGGGAACTCCATGGGCACAGGAGACAGTGTACCTTAGTGATAAAGACGATGACGGTGACAACAGTTATTGACTGTTCACTGTGTGCCAAGGCAGCAGTCTTTAGCACTCACAAATCCTTCGAAGGACTGCAGGTGTTAGTTTGTGGCTAAGACGCTAAGGCACAGTGAGAAAGAGCAGGGCAATGGGGAGCTGACACCCAGGTGAAAACACTCAGCTCATGCGGAAGGCTGACCCACGAGTTTTCTGGTACAGGGGTACAAGCTGGAATGCATTTGCTAACACTGGAACCCAAGTAAAAGCTCTGAGTTCAGAACTTTTCAGTAAGGGCTCAATAAATATCTTCAACAGATTGAGGCATTTCTGGAACAAGGCGAGTGGGAACTATGTCTTTTCCTACGGAAAACTCCTTATTCAGTACATTGCAGGCTCTCTTCAGACCCAAATGGTGAGAGTCTTTGCTGAAAGACACATGAAACTTTCCTCCTCATGGTGCTTGCGGTCATGTTTATCCAGCAACAGAGAGCAAACTAGAATTGTCAGCAACTAGACAGTAGATCCGCAGCTGGGAAAACACAAGTTTGGGGGCGATCGGTACAGAGTACCAAGTTCAAGCCTTGGGGTTCAGGATCATGTTTAGAGCCGTTCCAGAAAAGCCTTTGTTCCTTTTATTGTTGCAACCCAATAAGGTCTTGCGCATTTAGAACATATGAGGGCTGCGGGCGCCATCGGCCAGTCCTTTCTGATTACCCTGGTTGAAAACTGAGTTGGATTCACGCTGTGAAACCATACTCGAAGGACAAAGGCAAAGCAGAATAGTTTAGGAACAAGCCAGTGGTGTGAAGTGAGGATTCAGGGCTCAAGAGGCGTACTTGGCAGGAATGACCATGGTTGCCAGCCCTAGATGATTGCAGAGAGGGCTGAAAGTGAGCGCTGCTTCTAGTTTTCCATGGAGTGGAAGGGAACAGGGTGGTATCTGGTCCTTTTCTTTTCCCACGGGGGAAAAAGAAAGATGTGAGTCAGGGTTGATGATGAGGCAGTAATCCAACAGGCAGTGTTCTCAAGTCTGCCTTCTACCTCTGTTAAAAGGACAAATAGCTTGGATAAGTTCTCAGAAACACCATTTTTTTTTTTAAGAAAACAAGAGGAAACCCCCGCCAGTTCTGTCTAGCTGGTACTTGGCATTCTCTGCATTTCCCTAGTGAGGAGCCTCACTGCACTTAGAATTGGGGTGTGTGTGTGTGTGTGTGTGTGTGTGTGTGTGTGTGTGACCAATTAGTATGACCAGCTTCATCTTGGATTGGACAAAAAGGAACTTCAGATGGAAGTAATTACATTCCTAACCCCTTATAGTATTTTCTAGAAAGCTGAAAGCTAGCCCCATATGTCTCCATGTGCTTGGTAAGGGACAGCTTTCATAATGGGCATCATTTGCTACTCGGATGGCAGATGGAGAAGCTTGCAAGTTGAAAAGGTCACATGCATTTGCAGCAACATTTCGGAGGGGCTGCTCAGCTCCCACCCTTCTCAGTTAGGGATTTCTAAACTGAGGTCCACAGGTCAGTGCCAGGGAGGCTGCATAAAGATCATCTGTGGAGTTCAAAATAGCATTTCCTGGGCCTGTTCATCTAGAGAGTCCAGCTTACTAGGCCTAGGTTAGAAACGGGGGCCTGTGCTATCTAAACACCCCTAAAACTGTGATTCACTAGATTAAGAACCATACCTGACAACCACACTGTCTGCCTTCTGCTCTTTGAGGAATACCCTTTACTGGGACATGCCTTATGTATTGTCTTTTTTTTTTTTTTCTTGACATTCCCTAACTTCTTTGACACCTCTGTAACCTTCCTCAGGCCTCCCATCTCAGGCCAAGAAACACGCTGAGTCGGCCAGGGGCACGCTGCTGACCTGGAAGCGAAACATAATCCCAGACAAGGAGAAAAAGGAAATCCTGGGAGCTCTGGTCATGCTCTACTATACTCTGGGGATCGCCTGGCTCCTGCAAAACCGATATCCTTTCTTTCCCAGGTGGATCTGGAGATGAAGGTTATAGGCCACGTGCCAAATGGGAGGGCAGAAAATGGAACTGGCTCCTGTTAAACTGGGAGCAGCTAGGTCCTCCACGAGGTCCACCTAAAAAGGTACGCATCCAGGAGTGCCTAGTGAAGAAAAAACACTTACTTTATAGCCAGGGAGGAGATGAGAAAGAAGGAGGAAGGTTCTGGAAACTCACCATGTCCATCAAGGGCATCTGCCCTGACTGGATTACACTTCATCAGGGTTCCCCCGTCTTCCAGTAGGATCATGCTAGTACACAAGCTCTTGATACAGAGACATTTCCGGACACCGGAGAGCAAAGTGATATCAAATGTCTGTCCTCAAAACACGTGTGGCTTTGGTCTTTGTGTATATTCTCCCCTCTCAGGAGATGATAAGAAAAGTAGAGTTCCTGAGTGATTTTGGACATTCCGAACTCAGAAGGCCCCAGCTCTCCCCACCTACCCCCTCCTCTGTGCTGGTCTGTCGGCTTGTAGAGCTGATACGTGGTCTTCTGCTGTTGCACCCTCGGTGGGCAGAGACTGAAATTCGGGAAATGGAAGGATGTCTGGGAATTAAGGGGATTTTCCTCCCTGCTATCTGCCTCTGGCCCCAAACCTGCTTTTCTTGGATTTTTGAAATGAACCAAAAAGTCCCTTTCAGCATAATTAGTTCCTCTCATTTCCCATTGCTATGAAACAGTTTGGTCAAATGAGTAACTGTTGTCAGGCAGTCGGTGTCTCTAAAGGAAATGGAGTATAAATTACAGTTTCCGTTAGTTCTCGCAGACACTCGCCATTCCAGACCTGGATTCAGGCAGCTGCCACAGGAAACCCTAGGCTGTGCTCTTTTCCAGAGAATTCTCCCTTCTTGATGACATCCACATGGAGAATCGAGAACACAGTTAAATAAATACCTATTTTCAAACTCTGCTTTGCTTTCCCAGGGGCCCCTTTGGTGAACTGATAGACTGCCCTCCCTGTACAGTGACCGTTAGTGTGCTTAGCATTTCCCTTGACTGCCCCACAAGCAAACAGGCGTATATCCACCTGCAGAAAGCAGACAGAAACATGAAGGAACTGAAAGAGTTAAACAACGGAGGCATTGATGGAAGCCAAATCTCGGAGAAAGACCTAACCATTGCTTTGGGCAGGTAAGATCTGGTCATAAAGAAGCAGAAACTTTTTGTGAATGAGGTCTGGGATTTTTTCCCCCTTGGTCTCTGACCTGATAAAAGGAGGGAAATGTTCAGAGCACAGAGCCCAGAGCTCAGTGGATAATAGAAGAGGTCATACATACCAACTGGTTCTGTGAGTTTACCGTACACTGCCATGCTTAATCCTCACAGCCGCCATTGAGGTGGTCAGTAAGACTGTGGTTTCCTCCAAGAGCCGGAGACTGAGTTGAGACTGAGCAATTGGTTGAAGGCAGTGAGTCTAACTCACCTGTGGGTTGTGACCCCTTGGGGTTGCAAAACACATTCTGTATTGTCAGATATTTACATTATGATTCCTAACAGTTATGAAATAACAGAAACATAATCTTATGATTCTGGGTCCCTGAGCCATGAGGAACTGAGTTGGAGTGGCAGCATTAGGAAGGCTGGGCACTGCTGCTCAAAGGTGACTTCACTAGGACATAGCTGATCTGTGAGCTGAGCTCGCCTCCCTTTGTCCTGCAGTACCATAACACTCTTGCATTTACCTTGGGGTTGGTTTGTTTTTCTGAGTTGCCCCTTACTTTTGCCATCAAGTGTGGCATCTTAGCAGATAAGGAAAGAACACTTAAGAGGACTACCAGAGCTGTGGACAGACATGCGCGCTTAGGGAAAGCGCTGTCCTGTGTAGAAACAAAGCCCACGGTGTGTGCTCAAGCCAGAACAAGACTCAAAACCATTCTGAGTTGAGTTAAGGATCCTCTGAGAATCGAGTATTTAGAAAGGAGAGTGGGCCCATCAGATTATCAGGAAAAAGAAATGATGAAAGTTTACTGCTCCTCAGATTTTTCAAATATCATCACATCCTGGAAAGAAATCTTTCTAAAAGCTATAAGCACTGGGCACGGGAGGGCAGATGGCAGAATGGTGATAAATGAAACACATGCGTCACATCTGCCTCCTTAAAACAGCCATGACTCTAGAAGTCAAACGGGACATGGTTAGAGTCCGGTGGATGTCTCCTGCTGTCCCCGAGGGCACTACTTAAAGTGCTCTGCCTTACGTGAAACAAACTCATGTTTTCTTCTCTCAATCAATTCTAGTGTTTATTTTGCTCATCCACACCACGGTCTTTGAGTATCTGTTTTGTGTGTGTACTACGTGTTAGAAGGCTTACTAGGAATAACACATAGCACACCCTGTCCCGAGTGCTTTGGAATTTTATTTCATTCAGGCCTGGCCATAACCTGTGAGGATTGGCATTCTTAATAGTTTTATTTGACAGATAAGAAAACAAGGCAGAGCAAGATTAACTGAAGGCAACGGAATGAGTTTAAGAACTTGGTTTGTCATTGAAACATCTGAATTTGTAGCTTATTTTCTGCACCGTGCTGCTATATTTGATTCTAGTAATGCCTTTTTCCATTGAAGGGTAGAGATACTAAGGACAGATTGTCAAGGTCACACAACTTGCTAATATTTCCTTCAAAGCTCTTGCTGGGAGCCATTCTTAATGTCTGAAGAACGAGAGAAATACTTTTAGTCAAGAGAAGCACTTGTCTGGTTGATATAAGTATTTGTCAGAAGATTGATTAGGTAACCTACCAGTGGTGACCTTTATTCCTCATCCTCATCTTCGTGACAAGATCCATCTGCCAGAAGGGCTAGCTGGCAGGCCTTGGCTCTCTTCAGGTGCAAGTCACAAATTGGCAGCCCTGAGTTCCTTTTTATTGAGTCAAACTCAGCTCTGTCGCTTAGGCTGTTCTCCCAAATTTACACGACTCCTCCGGCTTCTGCATCGTCAGTGCTGGACATACACTGTGGGCCGTCACATTTAGCCAAGCGTTTTGGGGACTCACAAACCCAGAGGCTTTAAGCCCTAACACCTAGCGCTTATGACTTTAGAAGCCAGAAATGTGTAACTCCAGGCACTCAGGCAGAGGCTTTGAGTCCTGTCGTCTTACAGTAGATGGTATGGCATCTCCTGCGTCTCAGGAGTCAGGTCCTCATCTTTTAATCATTGATGGCTCTATCTAGATCTTTGCTTGAGGGTCTTACAGTACCATCTTTCAGAGTCTCTCGCCTTCTACAGTCTTAGCTTTCTAGTTCCAAACCCTACCTGTGCTGTCTGGAACTCTTCAGACACCTTTTTTTTTTTTTTTTTTGCTGATAGGTAGTCTCGGGCTGAGTGTTACAGGGTCTTCATGTCTCCTGTTAGAGCGATAAAGACAACAGGAGGGCAAGAAAAGGCAATTCTTTGGAGTCTACTTTTTTTTTTTTTGCTCTCGCATTTTCTTTTCTTTATTTTTCCAGATGGAGGCACACAGGCCAGTTCCATAATTAACATTTGAGCTCATTCTCACGCAGTGAGAAAGGTGGAAGGAAATCTTGTTCAAATGAACAGAGAACTAACTAACTAAGGTAAACGGACTAAGGCGAAACATTGTTGCTAACTTAGGTGAAACATTGTTGCTAACTAAGGTGAAACATTGTTGCTAACTAAGGTGAAACATTGTCTCTAACTAAGGCGAAACATTGTTGCTAACTAAGGCGAAACATTGTTGCTAGCTAAGGAGAAACATTGTTGCTAACTAAGGGGAAACATTGTTGCTAACTAAGGTGAAACATTGTTGCTATCTAAGGTGAAACACTAAGACCCTTCCCCCACTCCTCTCCGGCTCTGCCACTCCTCTCTCCCTCCCTTTCCAGTCTGAAGAGCAGTCAGGGTTCCCTGCCCTGTGGGAAGTCCAAGGTCCTCCCCCCTCCATCCAGGTCTAGGAAGGTGAACATCCAAACAGGCTAGGCTCCCACAAAGCCAGTACATGCAGGAGGATCAAAACCCAGAGCCATTGTCCTTGGCTTTGGAGTCTACTTTTGCATCATAAGTACTGCCCTACTGAGAAGCCTCCAGCCTGTCCTGAAAAAGCATGGAAATGCGTCTGCCCGTGAGGCAGAGGAGGTGCATGGCATGCTGATGCCTAGCTTCTCATCCCACTGTCACAGCTCACATGCACATGACTGCTAGTTCTATCCGTTATCAGTCCCACATATAAACCAGTCTCATGTGTTCCATGTGTATGGCATGTACGCATGGCAGTCACAGGCTTTTTGCTGAGTCATTAGGGCTGGTGCTTTACCCCACCTTTACTGGTATTACAAGATTCACAGTCAGTGTTTATGAATAAATTATCCCATTTTATAAATTTCTGGGTGACATTTTTCTATTTTTATAGAAATTGTATGAGAACCAAACATATTCATGGGTTAAGCAAATGCTGATAGTTTGTGGGACCTTGTGGGCAAAATTCAGGATAATGGGAGTTTATTTAAAGCAATGCTGGATTTTGAGCCAACCGTCCAGATGATTTGTCTATGAAGACAAATTCTTCTTGGAATTAATTCCTTCTGTGTCTGCAAAGGAAGTGACCTCCGTGTGACTTTCCACCTTCTCTCCTTTTCTTGTAGAGCCTCCTTGGCCATGCACAGGATGAGCCTAGCTCTGGCATACTTTGAAAAGGCCATTGGCAATGTCATCACTGCCAAGGGACGTGGCACATCAGATCTGATTAGTCTGTATGAAGAAGTCGCTCAGATTGAGCAGCTGAGGAAGAACCATGAGCAGGCCATCCAGTATTTGCAGCAGGTTGGTTCTTTGGCAAGGTGGCCTTGTTTGTGCCCAGGCCCAGTGGCTTCTCATAACAAGGAGATAAGATTGGTTCTTTACTTTAACTCTAACATCTTAAGGGGCAGAATTGGTTCCATGTTGTCTTAGTTAGAGTTTTTGTTGCTGTGACACAGCAACTCTTATAAGGAAAACATTTAATTGAGGGGACTCACTTAAGTTTCAGAGGTTCAGTCTATTATCATCATGGCAGGAAGCATGGCAGCGTGCAAGAAGACGTGGTGCTGGAGGAATGGCTGAGAGTTCTACATCTTGTAGGTAACAGGAAGTTGGCTGAGACTCTGATATCCTGATAATAGGAAGCCTTAAAGCCCACCCCCGTAGGGATACAGTTCTGTACCTGCTCTAACAAAGCTATACCTCCTAATAGTGTCACAATCTATGAGATTATGGGGGGCCAATAACATTCAAACTACCACACATGTTAACCTTGACTTTCCTCCAAACAACAGCCTCAAACCTAAAACCCTGACCAGAGGTCCCTGACTCTAGTGAACATATATGTTCTGTCACCTAACTGGGAAATAACACATCCTCTCCTAGGCCTCTCATCTCTGTCAGTGCTAGGAGGAAACCAAACCTAAGTCCAATCCAAAAGGAAAAACACATAGGGGCAGCTGAAGTTGACTTGAGGAAGACAAAAAGGGAAGGCTGGTGACCAAAGTTTGATCCCTGGAACCCATGTGAAAGTGGAAGGAAACAGTAGATTCCACAGAGTAGCCCTCTGACCGCCACACGTGTCTATACATGTATATTTGCTTGCACAAACAAATAATAATAGTGACAATATTAAATAATAATTTTTAATGCTTGGCTCATAGAAAACAGCCCTATTAGGAGGTGTGGCCTTGTTGGATTAGGTGTGACCTTGTTGGAGGAAATGTGTCACTGAGGAGGTGGGCTTCAAGGTCTCATATGTGCTGAAGCCCCACACAGTGTGATTAGATAGTTCACTTCCTGTTGCCTGTGGATCCAGATGTAGGACTCTCAGCTCCTTCTCCAGCACCATGTCTGCCGGCATGCCATCATGTTTCCTGCTGTGACAGTAAGGGACTAAACCTCTGACCTGTAAGCCAGCCCCAATTAATGTTTTCCACCATAAAAGCTGCTGTTGTCATGGTGTCTGTTCACAAAAATAGTAATCCTAAGATAGGCCTCCTCCATAAAACTCACGGTATTTTGTTATATCAGACGCCCTTTAAGATCATTGCAGCTGGGCTGGAGAGATGGCTCAGAGGTTAAGAGCACTGACTGCTCTTCCAGAGGTCCTGAGTTCAAGTCCCAGCAACCACATGGTGGCTTACAGCCATTTATAATGAGACCTGGCACCCCCTTCTGGCTTGCAGGCACACGTGGAAGGAATGCTATACACATAATATAATAAATAAATAAATATTTTTAAAAAAAGATCATTGCAGCTGATTTTATTTCCAAATTTAAGGTTAAACAAATAAAAGTATATCTCACTTGGAGGTAACTAAACTGACAAATACTTGAGGCAAACCAAAACAAAGGAACAAATATCGAGTCTGTGATATAAAAACCAATTAAGGGACTTCCGTTTAAAATGTGCTTGAACTGTTAGTTAAATTCACCTTTCTCTTTTTTGAATAAAACATGGCAATGCTGCTTTCGCCACAGATGTATATAGACATGCTGGATTTTGTACATGGGAAAAATAGTAGCCCAGCCCCATAGTCTTATGTTGAAACCCATAGAGTTAAGAAAAGGCGTGGAGAACAGTTAGACAGCCCAAGATTATAGACACCAGGCAACGGGGAGAAACACGAGAGAATTTGCTTCAGTGCCAGAGTCACTGCCTGCAAGGAAAGACATGAGTTTTGAATTTAAGGATCTCTTAAAACTATAGTCAAGCCAGGCACATCTTTAATCCCAGCATTCTGGAGGCAGAGCCAAGTGGATTACAGAGTTTGAGGCCAGCCTGGTCTACAGAGGGAGTTCCAGGACAGCCAGGGCTAAACAGAGAAGCCCTATCTCAAAAAAAACCAACCAACCAACCAACCAATATACAAGCAAAACACTGATTAAATCAGAATGAAGCAAGTAGTAGTCAATGCTTATAGCAACACCAAAAACTAAGAGTTAAAAAGTATAGATTGCTTTTATTGTGTGCACTTGAGTATGTATTTCATTTAACCCACGAAGATTTTTAAAGCATGTATCATTATTTTATCTCCCTTTAAGGATCAGAAAAGTGGAGCACAGTTATAGCTAATTCAACTGAAGTAATATAGCTAACGAGTGGCAGCAGAGATTTGAACTCAGAAGATCTGACCCAGGAGCTTACAGTTAAAGGAACAGTACTGATCTTGTCACGGTTTTCTTTTTTCCAGGCCTACTCTATCTGTGTTTCTTCGTTTTCTGAAGTCAGCCCCCAAACCGCTGAGGCGAGTGCTTTACTGGCTAAAGCTTATGCCATGTCCGGAGAATCCCAGCACAGGGGTAGGTAGAAGAGATGACCTTGTGTCTACCGTCACTCCCCAGTGACATGAAAAGCAAACTAATGAATGATCCATATATAAATAAAAGACTATAGGTAGCTACTTCCTAAGTCTGAATTTTCATTGAATAATTTTTTTTCTTTCTAAGATTTATGTATACCCATAGTGTGTGCATTCCATGTATAACAAATTTTCATACTTTACAGTTATAAGAAATTTGATATATTTGTAAATGTGAGGACTATTTAGCTTTTTATATGAGAAAAACCTCAATTTCAAGAAAACCTTTTTCTCGATATTTAATTAAAAATAATATTTATTCTGTGTGTGTGCCCATGTGCTTACTATCAAAAGATATGCTTGCATGTGTGAATGCCATGGTGCATATGTGAAAATCAAAAAAGTCAGTTCTTTGCTTTCACCATGGAGACCTGGGGGTTGGATCCAATCTCAGGTCATCAGGCTTGGAAGCAAGTTCCTTTACCCTGAGTCATCTTGCCAGTGCCCTGAATGCTTCTTTTTAATATTAAAGAAAAGATGTCAAACATGTGCATTGGGGAAAGGAACAGGCTCTTCAAAATAAGGTACCAGCAAAACGGGATTACCACATGTAAAAGCTTGGGACTCCATCTTATCTCTTAGCCTGTAAGAAAATCAGCTCCAAATGGGATCACCAAACAGAAGATGAGGCTTGTAATTCCCCAAGTGATAGAGACATAAGCAGGGGCCACACTTCATTGTCGGTGCAGTGAGCGCCTTCTGAGCATGACTGCAGGCACTCAGCACACAACACCAGCAACTGACAAATGAGATTTCACGAAATTCAACCATTGCCCAGCAGAGGAAAATACTGAGGAGGCAGCCTGCAGCCCAGGAAGAGATCTCTGCTAACTCTACATCTGAGTAATATCTAGAATATAAAAAGAGCTAAAACAAACAAACAAAAACAACCCCGAAAAGCAGTTAATAAATGAGATAATGAAATGAGCCAGCAGTTCTTAGGAGACGAAATGCAAATAATCATGAGGCCTGGTGGCGTGGTGGTAGGCGCAGTAGCCTTCCAGATGGCCCGTTGTGGAATATTTTTTAAGGTGTGTTACTTTTGTTTGTGCTCTGGAACATTTGTTTAATGATGCAAAGATGTGTTCGATTAAATAAAGTTCACCTGTGGTCCAGAGGTTGCTTAAGCAGCTAGCAGACAGGAAGTTGTAGGGAGGAGCTAGGTGGAGAAAGGTCTATAAGGAGGGGCGAGGAAAGCACCGCGAGGACTTCTTGGGAGACGCGAGGAGGTGAGCTATGTGAGCAGCTTGGTAATCAGCCTCTCTGGGAAGCAGGATTCTACCTCAACCTTTGAATCTTGCGTTCATTAGTGGGAAAGAGATTTAGATAAGTTCTCTTAGTAGGAAGAGAATTTCCTCAGACTGCGGCTCCTGCGGCCACGCGGCAGAGGGGTACTTGCTGACTTAGATAACTGTAGCTTAAAAGGCAGCAACTGTTACAAAAGTGGACAACAAGGGCCGATAAACCTGAAGTAATATTCAACATCAGAAACATTCAGAGAAGAGCACACAGAGGCTAAGTTGAGATTCTATCACCCCAGGCAGAATTCACAGGAAAGCAGCTTGCTAGCCTCCCCCCCCCCCCCCCCCCCGTTAAATCAGTCTAGTTGGCAAATGTCTATCTACAAACCTTATAATTAGTTAAATTCCAGCTAAACTTTTGTCCATCAAAACTGAAAATAAAATATTTGTGGACAAAACTAATAAATCTTATTATATAGATATAATAAATATCTATATACAATATATAAGTATCTAAAATAGAAAGAACTAAAATTAAACTTAGAGAAGACTTTCTAAGCACACATAAACATATACAATTGTATATATTCACATATACATTATATATATATAAAGATTATATAGAGATATACAATGAAAGAAGCTAGAAATTTTCATTCCAAAAATATCTAAAACCATGTCTGTCAAGCAAACAAACAAGAAAAATGCTGGTGAGAATGTGGACCAGCCGGACAGTGGTGGCACACGCCTTTAATCCCCTGCACTCAGGAGGCAGAGGCAGGTGGATCTCTGTGAGTTCAAGGCCAGCCTAATTTACAAGAGCTAGTTCCAGGATGGGCACCAAAGCTACAGAGAAACCTTGTCTCAGTAAAACAAAACCAAAAAACCCAAAACAATACAAAAATTCTCTGAATCAGAGAAAACGGACCAAAGCAAACTCTTACACAGTGTCAGTGGGAGTGTAAACAGAGACTTGCACATTAGTGTTTATTAACAGTTACATTATGAAACAACCTAGGTGTCCATTCACAGGAATGGATAAAATCCACACACAGTGAAATGTTTCCAGCCATAAAGAAGAATGAAGCTATGTCATTTGCAGGAATACATACAGAGGACATAAAATGAGAAACAAAACTGGGCGGGCAGACGACTTGATGGACAGGGAGGCTGGCAGGGTACCACATGTCTCACTGCTGCGTTACAGTACCTGACGACGTGACTGGAGGAAGAGTCTCTTTTGGCTAGCAGTTCCGGGGAGTACATCCCATCAGAGCGGAGGATGCGTGGTGTAATGGTAGCAATTGGCTTACATTCAGGAAGCAGCACGCTGATGAGGGCCCGTTCTTGGATCCCCTTGTCCTTTTAATTCATCCTGGACCCCAGCCCACAGAGGGACACTGGCCATACTTAAGGCAGGACTTCTCATTCAGCTAATTCCTCACAGACTTGTCCAGAGATTTGTTCCCACGGTGATTCTAAGTAACATAAATTTAACGATCAAGAGTAACACCATATGAGGCATCAAAGGCTTGCATGAAAGAAGCCTTATGTAACCCAGTACAATAAATAAAAAGTTTCAGAAATTGTATATATTCAAGTTTTATCATTAAAGTAAACTTCAGCTAGATTAAAACTTTATCCCTACCTGACCACGGTCATCCGTGACATGACCACTTTGGTATAATTGACAGACTCATGGCTACATTCCATGCCATCACAGCCACCAACGTATTGTCTCTGCAGAAAACAAACGCAGAGGGGGCTGGAGAGATGGCTCAGAGGTTAAGAGCATTGCCTGCTCTTCCAAATGTCCTGAGTTCAATTCCCAGCAACCACATGGTGGCTCACAACCATCTGTAATGGGGTCTGGTGCCCTCTTCTGGCCTGCAGGCATACACACAGACAGAATATTGTATACATAGTAAATAAATATTAAAAAAGAAAACTAACACAGATATGGAACTTCTAGAATCAGTAAGTTCAAGCTTATCAAGGTCTCCAAACGAAATGAGAGCTGACCTAAATAAGTGTAGCGACATCCTGTGTGTGAAGTAGAAGGTTTGATACAATGAATGGGTCAGCTTTTCTAGAAGCAATCTAAGAACTTAGCATAATTACAGTCATTGTCCCAGCAGGACCTTTTATAAATAAAGGTCAGACTCTAGAATCCATCTGGAGAAGTGAAGGAGCTGAAATTGGACATTCACAAATAAAAATGACAAGGCAGAATTTGCTTGTGTCATGCGCAAGCTCTGAGCCACGGTTCCTTGTCCTGAATGTAAGAACTAAAGTTAAAGTAGAAAGGCAGGCAGAAGAGATCAAACACTGCATAAAAACTAAATGTAGCCGGGCGGTGGTGGCGCACGCCTTTAATCCCAGCACTTGGGAGGCAGAGGCAGGCGGATCTCTGTGAGTTCGAGGCCAGCCTGGTCTACAAGAGCTAGTTCCAGGACAGGAACCAAAAGCTACAGAGAAACCCTGTCTCGAAAATACAAAAC